GATTTGTGCTTTCAGTTTTTCTTCTTGTGTATTTTTCCTTTTTGCATCTACATCTCTGAAGCTTAAAATTAACAGATGCCTTTTGAGGATTCTGCTCCTGAGGAAAGCTTCAATGGTTCTGCAGAAGTTCTAGACCCGCCAAAGGATGACACCAGAGAACACTGGCCGATTCCTCCCAATGAATTAGAGAGGAGGTTACATGAACTTCTAGAAGCACAAGACAGCAAGAAAGAATAAAAAAGCTTGAAGCTGCTTTAGAATGTGCGAGGCTCAAACTTTATGAGAGGGAAAGAGAGCTTTCTTTGTGGAAAGACACCACAAGATTCATTTCTCAGCGTGTTCCAGAGTCCTATCACTTGTTAAGGTAACCATCAATTATGCAGAAGCTTTTTTGAAAAGGAAATCTCGATAAACACTTTCGTGTATGTAGAGCTTTAGTGGACTCAAACTATTGCTCTTTTCGACTATTTATTTATTTTTGTTTGTGGTTCCACACCGTGTGAAAAATGATCTGTGGAAGACTCAGCAGATTAAGGTTTTTTTTTTTCCTTTTCTTTTTTCCCTGTATAAAGAGCAACAGGGATGTTTGTTGTGTACATGTCATTTTGTTTGTACTTCTTTATAACTGATACAACTTTACACTTCATTACAAGTGCCTAGCAGCCTTATTATCATTTTTCTTAGCAAGATAAGTTGTCTTAAAGGACTAATTTGTATGTAATTAGGGTCTTCAAACTGAAATGACTATGCACCTGATGATTTGTAGTAGACTTTTATAAAAGTGTTTTTGTATTTCACTTTTTGAATTGCAATATGGTTACTAACCAATATGAACATCTTACTAGAGTATGTAAGTTTGGCAGTCAGTCTCTAGGAACCCCAGGGGACTCACCTAGACTATCAATTTTTTGCACGAATAAGCATTTCTTGTAAGTTCTCGAAAATATTTTAAGTGATGTGTGTGTCCTGTTTCAACAGTAGTAGTAGTACTGCATTATGAATTATTATGAACACACGTTCATAGGGTTTTGCAAATTTTAATAGGGGCTAATCAGGCATTGATTAGGCCTTGTGAGAGTTTAATGCTGCATGGACACAAACAAGGGCGAATCCATGAATTGTCAATAGGGGGGCTAGTATTGAACATAAATTTAATAACACAATTTCATAAGCAATTTTTTTTTTTTTTTTTTTATAACAAAATTTAGATAAATATTTGAAATCAAATATTACAAAATATCTATTTAAGTTGTGCTCGTCGAGTCTTTAAAGACTCGAATTCATCGATAATAGATTCTAAGTTAATTTTCCAAACAAGGTCCCGTTCAAGGTTGATGGTCATGCAATCAGCAAGAAATTCATCTCCCATCGTGCTACGCATCGCTGTTTTAACACGTTTCATGCCTGAAAATGCTCTCTCCGTAGTTGCTTTAGAAACGGGAAGAGTCAACACAAGACGGATCAATCTATCAACCAAAGGGTAGCACTCGGATTTCCTTCTCACAACTAGTTTCCCACATAAATCTGTAAGAGAAGAAGTATTTTGAAACTCCTGATCACTAGGTACATCAAGTTGATAATGCATCAGCTGAATCTTCAATACTTTAAGATCTTGATAAATGAAGTCCCAATGATAGAATTTCTCAGCAAGATCGCAAATATTCTCCATGTTAAAAGATTTAAAAGAATCATTAGGATCCAAAGCTGAGCTAAGAGTAAGAAGTTCCACTACTTCATTGTTGAATTTATGGTCTAACTCCATCAGCTGTAAATCTATTGCAGAGTTGAAAATGTCAAAGTGATAATGGTGTTCTACTGTAATATTATCTTGTTACTGACAATGACGACCAGTACCCTCTACATAACGAGAAGTCAAATTAGGTATGTCAATGTTATGTCGATTGCAAAATGACACCATATTTGTAAGGAAAATATCCTAATCATCTTGTCTGAATTTTTGAAGCAGAGTTTTGGTTGTTAAGACTAATTTCAAAGCATTTAGAATGTCTTGAGATTTGTGTTGCAAAGCCTGACAAAGTGTATCAGTGAATCCCATAATGTTATCCATTAGGTGCAAGATAAATATAAATTCAAAACTTCTCATTGCATTGTAAACACCTAAAGCTTGCCCACGTATCTGTTGACTTTGCCCACCCTTTATAAGACTTTCAACAACTGTGCAGGATGCAATATACATATCAATCAAGTTCCTAACAGAATCATAATGTGAACTCCAACGAGTAACTCCAGCTCGATGCAAGGTGCCAATCTGATTAGCCCCTTTACCAGATTGACGTTCACCTGTGCTCAACATACGTGCAATCTTATCCCTTTGTGAAGATTTTAATTCACTAACACGCTTGCGAGAGGAAGTAACAAGATTGACAATATAAGTCAAGTGAGAGAAGAATTGCCAAATCTTTGGCTCATCTTTTGCTGCTGCAACTAGTGCTAGTTGTAATCGATGAGCAAAATAATGGACATAATAAGCAAATGGACAATCTTTAAGAAATAATGCTTGTAGACCATTCCATTCGCCGTGCATATTACTAGCACCATCTTACCCTTGACCTTCAGATTTTGAATTGAAAGATCACACCGAGCAAGAATACCAGATATTGCATCCTTAAGCGTCACTACTGATGTGTTTTTAACTCTCACAATGTCAAAAAAAAAAGCGTTCCATTAGCACACCATCATGCTTGACATATCTTAAAACAAGAGCCATTTGCTCCGTTTTAGACTCATCTTGTGCTTCATCAACAAGAATACAATATTTGTCTCCCGCAACTTCATCACAAATCATTTTTCTCACTCTGTTTGCAAGAATATGAAGAAACTCTTTTTTAATCAATAGAGCAATGTATTGGGCATTTTGTGGAGCATTGTCCGAGATAACACTTGAGATTTCATCATTTCCTTCTGCTTTATACTTTAACGCTTCAATAAAATTCCCTTTATTTAATGAACTTGAACTTTCATCATGGCCTCTAAAACCAATTCCTTGCAATGCTAGAAAGCGAACAGTTTCAATAGTTGACTTAAGCCACATTCGATTCTTCAAAACGTCTTCTCTTGATTGGGCATTCAACACTTTATCAATATGTTATGCCAATTTATTTAAATTTCCATAAAGCATGGCACATTTTCTATTTGGTGAAGATTGAAGTCCCATGTGTTTCAAGAATACACAATTATCTCCATCACCAACTTTCTTCCAATTCTTATATCCATCATCAATAAGTGAAGAACGGCACCCCGTTATATTTCTCTCTTCAAAAAGAAAGCATGGAAAACAATATGCTTTATCTTTTGAAGGAAAATACTCTAGCCAAGGAAATTGTTGAAACCATTCATACTTAAATCACCGATTCTGCCTTCCATTCCAAGAGTAAGGATAATTGGAAAGTTTAGGTTGATAAGGCCCCAAATTGATATAAGTTCGTCTAACCTCATCCCTTTGATTCATGGAGTATTCATGTATTTGAATACGTAACCCGAGATCTCTTTCAATATAAGTGGAGTGAAGTTGCTGGTTTAACAACTTGAGGTAGGGCAGGAGGTTTTGAATCAAGATCATTGTCAATGTTAGATGCACTAGGTATATCCTTTTTCAATTGATAATCATCGCTCATTTGCCCTTTCTTTTGATAGAATGAGAGAATAGACATACTTTTTACTTTCTTGTTTGGTGGTTGATGTTGAGCCATTATTATTTTTAACCTACTAAATTTAAAGAATGAGTTAAATTAAAAATACCTAAATCAAATTTAACAACCATGAGTGAATAATGAATTGCAATAACAAATACAGATAATAAATTTGAAATATCAAGAAGTGGCCCAAATCTATTCTCTACTAATCAATGGCAAAAGTTACCTATATTCACCAAATACAAAAATTATAAGCTGATAGTTTATATGCTTTCAAACATTTATCTCTACACAAATATAATTATATATATATATATATATACACATATGAAAATGTATATAGTTGAATCTAAAGCAGTAAAGCTTACCTTTGTGGTGCCTGAAATTTGAGCGAGCTGAAATTTCACCGAGACTAGGCTTTTCTCAATTCCTCGGGACTATCTGCGTGGTTTTTTCAAGAGAGGTGGGTTAGGACAGAATACAAGTGAAGAAAGAGAGAGAGACTAAATTACTCAAAATATGCATATCACTAATTCACTATATCAGTATACCTCTGCCTATATATACATGTGATAAAGTCATAAACAACTCAAATCAGTGATTTTATTCAACAAAATTGTCACATACATAGAAAATGTTATGTGTATATATATATTAGAAATGGGGCCCACAATGAAGTATGTCATCCATGACATCACCATGTAAAGCTTACAGAGGAAGATTTCAATTGTGGCTTCTTAGGGAAGCCAATTACTGCACCTATATATATGGGCATGCATGTACACTGCTGTGTATGGGTGTTGGAATAAAAGCAAAATTTCATTCTCTCTCTCTTTCGTTATCTCTCTCTCCATTTCTTTACACACACACACACACACACACACACACACACACACATATTTATTATACGTTATCAGCACGAGCTATCCATCTGAGATTTGAAAAAGAAAGCTTTCTCTCCCTCTTTCTATCCCAACTATATATCTATTTTGTGATATTAGTTTTGATAGATTGTTGGGTTGGTTGGCTTTATAGGAGAAAATAATATTTCTGACTCCAAAGGGTAAGGAAATTTTAATTATGGATTATTGTTAGTAAAATAAAGTTGTTCACTTAAATGATATATGTGCTTACACTATGGTAGGTTCTACCACCTTTATTCTTTAACGATTTATGGGCCAGTTTTACCGCCTTTATTGTTTAATAATTTATTTACTATGACCGGATTGACCATTTTTGTTATTTATATAATTTATATTATGTTATTATTTCATTTAATGTCATTTTATTTTATATACTATGCTAAATTATATTTTTATATTGTTGTCACATCTAGTTATTCTGAAAATGTCAAATTTGACAAAGCTGGAATTCGTGGCCCTGGATATTTCTGGCAAAAATTATTTATCTTGGATTCTGGATGCTCGGATCCATTTGGATGCCATGGGCCTTGGAGACATAATTAAAGAAAACAATGATGCATCATTGCAAGATAAAGCAAAGGCCATGATTTTCCTCCGCCGCCATATTAGTGAGGAACTGAAAACTGAATACCTCACTGAAAGAGATCCACTTTGTTTGTGGAATAATTTGAAAGAAAGATATAATCATCAAAAAACAGTCATCCTCCCAAAGGCCAGGGCTGATTGGCTGCAACTGAGGTTGCAAGATTTTAAAACTATGACTGAATATAACTCTGCTCTATTCAAAATCAGCTCTACATTGAAATTATGTGGTGATACTGTTACTGATGAACTTTTGCTAGAAAAAACATTCACCACATTTCACGCCTCGAATGTACTCTTGCAACAACAATATCGAAAGCGTAGATTTAAAAAATATTCAGAGCTGATATCATGTTTACTGGTGGCAGAGCAAAATAATGAGCTTTTATTAAGAAACCACCAGTCCCGTCCAACTGGATCGACACCGATCCCTGAAACATATGTTGCCTCATCCCGTAGTCGTGGATGCGGACGTGGACATGGTCGTGGTGGTAGCAATGGACACAATAATGAATATGGTCGTGATAAAAATAACTACCACAATAATGACTATGGCTGTGGTAGAAATCATTCTTATTACCGTGAAGGATATCAATCCTTACATTCACGCAATCAGAGATCCACACCATATCCTCAAAGGAGAGATCATAATGAAATGAGACAAGTAAAAGGAAAGGATATGGCCCAACCTCCCAAAGTACATGATAATACTTATTATCGGTGTGGCATGACAGGGTATTGGCAAAGTATTTGTCGTACACCGAAGCATCTGGCTGATCTTTACCAAGCCTCAATGAAAGAAAAGGGAAAACAAAAGGAAATGAATTTCCTTGATCATGATGAGCCAGTTGACACCACAAATCTGGAAATGAATTTCATTAATCATGATGAGCCAGTTAACATCACCAATCTGGATGTATCAGATTTTTTTTATGATCGTGATGGAAGGATAGACTTCCTGATTGGTGATGGAAATGTCCACACCAGTTAATCTTATGTTTTTGTTTTTCATGTTATGTCTACTATGTTTCTATTTTTCTTGTATTTTCTTTGTATTAAAGTTTTTATTTTTTAGTTTGTATCAAAGTTTCCTTTGTTATAAAAGTTTCTTTTCTGAAAAAGAAATTTGCATGAATATGAATGGATCTGACTAGCTCCAAAATAATTGGAGAAGACATATATCTTACAGATAGTGGAACAACACATACAATCCTTCGAGATCAAAAATATTTTTCCCACTTAATTCTGTCAGACGCCAGTGTCAGTACCATATCAGGTCCCACCGACTTGATTGAAGGCTCTAAACGAGCCAACATCATTTTACCACATGGAACAAGATTACAAATCAATGATGCCTTATATTCTACAAGATCTTGGAGAAATCTGTTGAGTTTTAAAGATTTGCGTCGTAATGGGTATCATATTGAGACTGCAAATGAAAGAAATGTGGAATATCTCTACATTACTTCCATTACCTCAGGCAAGAAACTGATATTAGAAAAACTCCCTGTTTTCTCTTCTGGGTTATACTATACAACCATTAGAACAATTGAGTCAAATGCTGTGATCCATAAAAAATCTTGTGACTCAAAACTTTTTATGCTTTGGCATGATCGACTTGGTCACCCAAGGAGTACAATGATGCGTCGAATTATTGAAAATTCACATGGAAACCCACTAAAGGATCAAAAAAATCATCTTACCAAATAATCATCTATGCACCGCCTGCTTACAAGGTAAGTTGATTATTAGACCATCCCTTTCAAAAGTCATTGTTGAATCTCATCCATTTTTACAACGAATTTACGGGGATATATGTAGGCCAATTCATCCACCATGTGGACCATTTCGCTATTTTATGGTCTTAATTGATGCCTCAACAAGATGGTCGCATGTTTGTCTGCTTTCTACCCGTAATGTTGCATTTGCTAGACTCCTTGCTCAAATCATCAAATTACGAGCACATTTTCCTGATTACCCAATTAAGACAATCCGTCTTGATAATGCTGCTGAATTTTCTTCTTAAGCTTTTGATGATTATTGCATGTCAGTTGGAATTAATGTTGAACACCCTGTTGCACACACTCATACTCAAAATGGTATGGCTGAATCTTTTATTAAAAGACTTCAGTTGATTGGTCGTCCTTTGCTTATGCGAACAAAATTACCTGTTTCTACCTGAAGTCATGCCATATTGCATGCTGCATCACTAGTTCGTATACGACCAACTGCTTATCATAAGTACTCACCATTACAACTTGTTTTTGGTCAACAACCAAATATCTCCCACATACGAGTTTTTGGTTGTGCTGTATATGTTCCAATTGCACCACCCCAATGCACTAAAATGGGTCCTCAACGTAGACTTAAAATTTATGTTGGTTTTGATTCTCTATCTATTATTAGATATCTTGAACCCCTGACAGGTGATGTCTTTAAAGCACATTTTGTTGACTGTCATTTTGATGAGATTGTTTTCCCACCATTAGGGGGAGAAAAGGCACAGCAGCAACGTGATCTTACTTGGAATGCCCTGGAATTGTTTCATTTTGATCCTCGTACAAACCAATGTGAACAAGAAGTTCAGAGGATTATTCACTTGCAAAATGTTGCAAATCAATTACCTGATGCATTTATCGATACAAAGAAAGTAATAAAATCACATATATCAGCTGCAAATGTGCCAGCACGAATTACTGTCCCTGAGGGACCTTTTGTTAGTACTGCAGCAAATGCATCTAAAACACGCCTGAAGCGTGGCAGACCAGTTGATGCAAAAGATACTGTTCCTCGTAAGAGGAAATTACAAAGAAAAGCTAGCACTCCTGAAGAGGCCACAAAAGGAGCAACAGATATTATTGATCAATCTGAAACAATAGTCTTTGATAAGGCAGAGGCTCTTGATGAGTCTCAGGTACCTAAAAATGATGAAATAATAAATATTGATGAGCCAAAGGCAACAGACGAAGATGTGGCCCTTGATGAGGCACATGCCCTTGATGAGGCAAAGGTACCTGAAAATCTCATTATTTTTAGGTACCTTTGCCTCATCAAGGGCCACATCATCGTCTGTTGCCTTTGTCTCATCAATATTTATTATTTCATCATTTTTAGGTACCTGAGACTCATCAAGAGCCTCTGCCTTATCAAAGGCTATTGTTTCAGATTCTGTATATGTTGATTGATAAATGAGAATACCGCTCGAAAAATGTTCAACCTGCAGCCTAAGGCAGAATTTTATCTTTCCGAGATCTTTCATTTCGAATTCTTTCTTTTAATAAGTGGCCATCTTTTCGATCTCACCCAATGTTCCCACAAGATTCAAATCATCAATATATACTGCAACAACAATAACAAAACCAGATTCTGATTTGTTAATAAAAATGTATAGACAAATATGACTGTTCACATACCCTTCTTTGAGCAAGTAATCGTTAAAGCAATTATACCACATTCGTCCAGATTGCTTCAATCCATACAAGGATCGTTGTAATTTTATCGAGTGCATATTATGTGGTTTTGTTTCAGGCATTTTAAATCCTTCTGAGATTTTCATATAAATATCACTATCTAGTGATCCATATAAATTATGAAACGAGATGGAATAGAAATGAAATTATTGTCGACAATATATTCTCATATCTCGTTGCTCTTGATATTGAAAATAAGGATCCGGAATCTCAAAACGTCGAAGAATGTCGATGAAGAAATGATTGACCAAAATGGAAAGAAACGATACAAGCAGAGCTAAATTCATTAGCTAAACGTGAAGTATTTGGACCAGTAGTCTAGACACCTGAGGGTGTTAATCCTGTTGGGTACAAATTGGTGTTTGTACGAAAACGTAATGAGAAAAATGAAATTGTGAGATACAAAGCTAGACTAGTAGCTCAGGGTTTCTCACAGAGACCTGGTATTGATTATGAGAAAACATACTCCCCTGTGATTGATGCACCTACTTTTAGATTCATAATACATTTGGCAGTCACAGAAAGATTGCATATGCATCTAATGGACGTGGTTACAGCATATTTATATGGATCACTAGATAATGATATTTATATGAAAATCCCAGAAGGATTTAAAATGCCTGAAACAAAACCACGTAATATGCACTCAATAAAATTACAACGATCCTTATATGGATTGAAGCAATCTGGACGAATGTGGTATAATCGCCTTAGCGATTACTTACTCAAAGAAGGGTATGTGAACAGTCATATTTGTCCATGCATTTTTATTAACAAATCAGAATATGGTTTTGTTATTGTTGCAGTATATGTTAATGATCTGAACCTTGTGAGAACATTGGACGAGATCGAAAAGACGGCCACTTATTTAAAGAAAGAATTTGAAATGAAAGATCTCGGAAAGACAAAATTCTGCCTTGGGCTGCAGGTTGAACATTTTTCAAACGGTATTCTCATCCATCAAACAACATATACAGAAAAGATTCTGAAACGTTTTCATATGGATAAAGCCTATCCATTGAGCTCCCCAATGGTTGTCCGATCACTTGACATCAAGAAAGATCATTTTCGTCCTCGAGAAGATGATGAAGAACTCCTTGGTCCTGAAGTGCCCTATCTCAGTGCGATTGGTGCTCTTTTGTATCTTGCAAATTGCACAAGATCTGATATAATATTTCCAGTCAATTTATTAGCACAGTACAGTTCTGCACCAACTCGCAGACATTGGAATGGAATCAAACACATACTGTAATATCTTCGTGGCACAACTGATATAGGCTTATTTTATTCGAAGGCACCAAAGTCTCCATTAGTTGGATATGCAGATGCTGGCTATCTTTCTGACCCACATAAAGCTTATTCACAAACAGGATATGTGTTTACCTTGGCGGCATTGCTATATCATGGCGATCAATGAAACAGACAATGATTGCAACTTCTTCAAATCATTCTGAGATACTCGCAATTCATGAGGCAAGCATGGAATGCTTTTGGTTGAGATCAATGATCTAACATATTCGAACAACATGTGGTCTCTCATCAATAAAAGAAAGCCCAACAGTATTATATGAAGATAATGCGGCATGCATTGCACAGATGAAATAATGGTATATTAAAAGTGACAGGACCAAGCACATCTCACCAAAATTCTTTTATACACATGAACTCCAGAAAAAGGGTGATATTGATATTCAAAAGATACGTTCATGTGAAAATTTAGCAGATCTATTCACTAAAACGCTTCCAACTACAACATTCAAGAAGCTGGTGCACAACATTGGAATGCGTCAACTAAAGGATCTTCAGAGTTGATCTAATGAGGGGGAGTAATTGATCGAAGAGGTATTGGCATACTGTACTCTTTTTCCTTCGCCCAGGTTTTGTCCCACTGGGTTTTCCTGGCAAGGTTTTAATGAGGCAGTTTTACTCTATGCAATACCATTTTCAGATACATAAGAATACTCTACTCTTTTTCCTTCGCTAGGGTTTTGTCCCACTGGGTTTTCCTTAGCAAGGTTTTAACGAGGTATATTCTTAATGTAGTATTGTGGACCCCAAGGGGGAGTGTTATGTATATATATATATATTAGAAGTAGGGCCCATAATGAAGTATGTCATCCATGACATCACCATGTAAAGCTTATAGAGGAAGATTTCAATTGTGGCTTCTTAGGGAAGCCAATTGCTGCGCCTATATATATGGGCATGCATGTATACTGCTGTGTGTGGGTGTTGGAATAAAAACAAAATTTCATTCTCTCTCTCTTTCGTTATCTCTCTCTCCATTTCTTTATATTACTATATATATATCTATATATATACACACACACACATATTTATTATAGAAAATATTAAATATATAAGGGTCTACAAGACTGTAACAGTATACCTAAAGACCAAAGTCACCAAATTGAGTCAACTATCAGACTATCAGTCTTTCATTGTATCACAATACCAAAACCACAATCGTAACCTTTGCGGCTCTGCCTATATAATATATTAATTAATATATATATATATA